AGTAACAATGTGCTAAATCTAGATGTATTAAATACATAATGATCATTTGTGTATCCAGAGTGAAAATGATCTTCTTAAAATATAATACAAAGCTAATCTGTTATACAAATAGCGCAAAATGAAGATCTAAATTAAAAGAAATCTAAAGGAAGATAACCTAATCAAAATTATTACAATTAGATTATAAATAAAAAATTAATATTATTAATTATTTAAATAATAATTTTCAAAACTTATTAATAAATTTTATAACTCTATCAGATATAATTATTAAAAATAAGTTATATAATTTGAAAATATTTTTAAAAAATATTTTTATAATAATAATAATAATATTATTATTATATATATAGATATAAACTATATTTCTTTAAAAATTTATTAATAAATATTACTATTATATTATATTTAAATTTAATAATAGAAAGTTAAATAATATAATAAGAGATTAAAATAATTTAATAAATAACTGATTATTATTTTTTATTATATTAATAAGATTAATAATTAATTATATACTTTATTTATTTTAATTAATAAAATTAATAGTATAAGTTTTATAAATTCAATATATCAAAGTTTTATTATTTAAAATTATCATATAATTAATATTTTTAAATAGATTAAATTATTTTTCAGTTTAAAATAATAAGTTTTAACTTATTATTTAAATATTATATTATTAAAATTTTTTTAAATTTCTTTAAATAACTATTTTCTTTATATTTTTAATTAATTCTTTCTTGCTAATAAGATTAATAATAAATATAATATATTTACTAAATATAATTAATAAAAAAATATATTTACTAAATTATTATTTTTATTAAACTTATATTTTAATTTAAAATTATTTACTTATAATATTCTAATTATTAAACTTATTCTTTAGAAAAATTATATTGAATCTTAATATATTTAAGATATATAATAGTAATTATAATAAATTTTATTCTTTTAAATATAACTTTTAAAGTTTAATAATATTAATAATTCTTTTTTATATATTAAATAATTCTGCTTAGCTAATAATAATTTTCTTAACTTATATATTATTAATTAATTATTTTTATTTTATTTTAATTTAATATTATTTTAATTATAAAATTAAAATATATTAATAATAATTATAAATAATGATTTTAAATAAATAATAATAAATTTTATATTGTGATAAAATATTATTTAAAAGTTAAAAAAACTTATTATACTTATTTTATTTATTTATATTTCTGATTTTTATATAATAAAACTACAAAATATGATAAAATAATAAAATATTTTGATAAATTTTCTATAATATCTTATTAATTCTAAAAAAAATAAAACTTTAAAATATTAATAAATATTAATTAATTTCTAATTATCATATTTTTTGATTAACTAAACTTTTATTTGCTAATATAAAATAATTTATATATTATTAAATAAATTATATTTTTTTTATCTAGTATATAATTTATATTTATATAAAATATTAAGTATAATTTAAAAATATTATATATATTAAAATATTATCTAAATACAGTGACAATCAAAAATAATGTAACACTTAAATTTTTTACTAATTATAATTAGTAAAATACATAATTTTCTTTACATATAAATATTTTTAATTTTATTAACAAATATTTTTTATTTTCAGCTCAAAAAATAGCTAAAGTTCTTTAATTTAACATTATTTTTTCAGATTTTTCAGATTTTTTTACTGATAACTTCTTCTAATTATATATAAAAGTTAATTAATTTTTACTAATTATTAATTAATAAAAATTAATTAACTTCATATACAATTAGAAAAAGTTGCTGGTAAAAAATCTGAAAAAAATATATATTAAACTAGAGAACTTTAGCTATTTTTTGAGGTAAAATTAAAAAATATTTGTTAGTAAAATTAAAAACTTTTATAGTTAAGGAAAATTACGTATTTTACTAATTATAATTAGTAAAAAAAATTAAGCATTGCATTACTTTTGATGATAAATAAAGTAATCTTATTTTTCAAAAAAATAGATAAATTATTCTTATTTTTCAAAAAAATAAATAAAATAATCTTATTATTCAAAAAAATAAAATTAATATTATTATCAAAGAAATAAGAAAATTAATCTTTTTTTTAAAAAATTAAAAAATATTACTATTATCTTATTTTTATTAACAGAATATGTTATTTTAATAAGATTATATAAAGAAATCAAAATTAATAAAATATATACATATTATATAATAATTCAGAATTGATATTTGAACCAGTCTAAAATATTTGTTAAATATCTAATAAACTTATCCAAACTATATTAGATATTAAATTATGTTATCATATTATTAATAGAATTTGCCAATTTGTTTGAGATTTTTTTTGGACATTTGGATTTGGTTTGATCCAGTTCAATTCAAGTATTAAACATTTAAATACCAACCTGTAAAATATAATTTAATTATAAACTTCAAGATTATTTCTTTTAATTTTTACAAAAAATTTTATTTTGAACAATATAAAAAGAATGAAGAAAAAATAAGATTAAACAAGATATTTTTGTATATTCTGATAATATTAAGAATATCTTTAAATAAAAGACAGGAATTTAATAATACGGTATATAATATTTTAAGTCAACACAATTTGATGTAATTAATTTAATTGAATTCATAATATAGACAAAATCAGAAACACAATAATAACAGATTTTATTTTTATATATAATAACAGAAAAAGCTTGAAAGTCTCATAAGCTAGCTCAAATGTATCTTTATATGAGAGTGGCAACCAATTTTCATGAAGCTTTATTCATTAAATATTAGAATATTTGAATAAAGATTATTTTACGGATCAAATTTTTATTTTAGTTGTTGATAGAACAGCCATTTAAACAATATATGTAATTTGAAAGTTGGGAATAATAAAGTATTCATAATAATTACGAATTGCTTAACTTAAATATGATGAAAATAACGGCTTAGAGATATATTTTAGATTCTTAGAGAAGTTTTTACATGTAAGAATGTAAGGATAATTTTTTTTAAATTTCAGTAAAATCCGAAAATCCATAAAGATAATCATTGAGAAAATTTCCATTACATTTAGATTCATCTTTAATAGGATTCTCGATCTTTATTATAGGATTTATATTGAAAGATTTATTCTTTGAATCATTTATGAAAACCATTTCTTCTTTATAAAAGTCATCATCATCATCACTACTTTGGTCACTTTGACTATGTGAGCTTAAAGGTGACTTATTAAAAAGAAATGTCTCTGACGGAGGCTTTGTCGCATTCATCACTATCTTTTGTAGTTCCTCGAAACTATATTTCGACCAGTCAATATTACAAAGATTTGATTTCCCAAAACTTAAGTTATTAGAGCTTAATTTGAATTCAAACTTTCCTCCTTGATTAAAATCATCATTGTTATTGTTCTCACGTCTTTCATTGTTTACAGTGTTGTTATTGTGATTCTTAATTGAAGGTGTATTTACAAGTTTTTCGACTAATTTTTCAATTCTTTCTAAATCATTATTTAACAATTTCACACAATTTTTCGATTCTTTACAACTAGCACAACTCTTTTTTGATGAAACTTTCGAGCATTTTACATCCGTCGTCGGATTAGCGATCATCTTTACTCGCTGAACTCTCTTATTTGAGACACGTGGAGTCGTTTGATATTTTGTTGTGGTTGAGGACATATTTATTTATTTATGTCTTAGACTGAAACAGAGGCAGCGAGAAGATTGTTGATCCGCTAATTATGGAAAAAAGAACAGTCTCTTCTTTTATGAATAACGAAAATTTCTTTCGTAACTCATTGACGAGAAAATTGTTATTTCACCCACACCTTTATACAAGAATAAAAACAATGAACTTACCACTTTTAGGATATTTATCATGCTCCGGGATATCAATTCTAATTTTGGTCATATTTATGATAAGTTTGTCGCACTATAATACTTTATCTTATGCAAAATCTCATTTAATACAAATTTTTTCCACTCCCCTTAACGTTAAATTAAGATTTCATTTGAAGTTCTAAAAATAGCTCGGAATTTATGTTCCATGGAACGGTGGGGTTACTAATGTTACGAGTGAAGCACGAAAATCATTGCCAATTCTTATTATGTGTTGAAAGGAAAAAAAAAGTTCAACATTTTATCGGAAATTGGGCAACAGCAGCAGCAGCGTTAGCATTTTATGAATCAAAGGTCATTTATTTGCATCGTATGACGAATTCATTATTGGTGATTCGCAAAAAGGGTTTCCTCTAAAATGGATGCATCGTTTCATATTCAATGCTATTCTAATCATTGTAAAGCTATAGTAGAATTAATGGGCATAGAAAAAAAAATTGAACATGGGGAAAGAAAAGGTTTGTGAAATAAAAAATAGGTGGCAAATGTGGATGGTGAGAACCCCTTTTTATAGAATACGTAAGCGGATTATAAGTTTCAATTTCCTATTAAGTGAAAAAAGCCACAATACTCCGCAAAAAATAAATGGTTTCTAAAAAGTTTCAGGATGCCACACATTACATGTGTAAATAATCGTAATTCTTCATTTTAATTCCTTTTAAGGTTTGTTTGGAGACGAGTCACAAAGTTTTTTACTTTGCAAAACGTAACTAATCACAACTTGTCATCTGATAATTGAATGAGAATACGTAGTCGATTATTATTAAACTTGTTTATTGCTTGTTTTAGACGAATTATAGATTAAAGTTTCTTGACTCCTGCGATCAGTCAGATCAATAATTAAATTTGATCGTGAATGTACATGTATAATAGCATTTTACAATGGTTTTTATGCGTGTGTTTGTTGTTAGATCACTAAGAACGTTAAAAGGCTTTAACTCGATTTTATAATATTGTTCGATTACCATTCTTCCGTGTTTTTTTTTATCGATATTCCTTCTAAATGAAACACTACTAAAACATACGTTATCACGTAAATCTTTTAACGACAATGAAAAATTTTTAATTTTTCATTTGCCTTTGTAATTCCCCAACCTTTCATCACATCATTTTTCCTTTATTTTACTCGCTGAAATCCTCGCTCAAGTTATGATATGACAATCAAAAAATGCAACTTACGCCATCGTGACTGCCTGCATTCTCATTGTGCTCATACTTTATTCGAATTTTGTTTCTTTTCTGTTTGAAACACGTAATGTATCTTGAATTCGTTCAAGGGAAACGCCTAACATTTATATTTTGGGAAGTAACACACGGAATATGGGTCCCGACGACGCTAATTTTGGCACATTGTTTGTATTTGGGTCACAATCATTCATGTGTTGTAAAATAGCTAATTTTTGCATTTTACTGTAATGCAATCACATGTTTCTATTCCTTGAATCTTTACAATATCGCTATGTCTTATTGTCAAAAATTTTTATGTTCAAAATTATCTGGATCGAACCCTCGAGAATCTTCTGTTGAAGTATTTGCATATTTTTGACGAATTGTGATTTATTCCCGTTTTAACAGTTAGCATTCAACATACGAGATACATGCACGTATCTCACAATACACGGTAAGTTTAATCTTTTTCCGATGTATTCATTATTTATTCTTTATAATTTTTCTTGTAAATCTGCTATAAAAGGTGGCATCATATTTTGTTGGTAAATCACGCTGTTAGGATACATTATTTAATTCAAATATTGTATTAGAATTATAAATTTTTTTAAAATTTCGAACAATTTGAACATAATTTCGTAAATTATTTTTTTTTAAATTAAAAAAATTTACCGGCTTTATATGCTCCAGATAATTTCCATTAAAAATACAATTATTCGCAGAAATCAATAATTTCTAAATTTTCGCGAATTCTTTCATAACAATTTCTATGAAAAATTTTGATCTATGAACTCATAACCACCTGTAATTCTTGCAGCTCGACACAGGGTTTTACAGGTGGGTCACGGAGGTACCTGAAAAATTCATTTTTGACGTTTCAATAACCAAAAACCCCTCTTGGTCTGTCAATTGAAAATTGGCATTAGAAAGTAGTGAACCTACCAAACCATTTTTGAAATTTGTAACGGATTACAATGGTTTTACAGGGAACTCGCCCGTAAATTTTATAGGTGATTTTTTTTTTAGTTCACACCCATAATATGCTACACAAATTTGTGAATTTGAGTTTTGTATATATTGTTAATATATTTAACATTTAAAAATGAAAATTTAAACTGCAATTCTATTTGGCAATTTAAATATATTATTATTTGTCCGGATCTATCAGTTTCCAAAATTGAGGTCACAATTTCTGTTGAATGCCAAATTTGATACTTAATTAATTGAAACTTTTTCTTTTCATCTTGTTTAACGAATCTAAAAATTTTGGATTTTTGGTCTTAAGCCAAAACGCGCAATTATAATCCAAATGACGCAGTCTATAAGTACAAATGATCAAGATTAATTATTTGGTGAATGTAGTTATAATATAAATATTGTTTTAGACATTTATAATGAAATTAATCTATAATATTAATGAATTTATCCCAAAATCCTATCGCTTAAAATTCTAAAATATCAACATTCTGAACGTCCAAAATCCCAACATTCCAAATGTTTAATATCCTGAACATTTAATATTTCAAATCATGAATATATAAAATTCCAAATTTCAACATTTTTAAACATTCAAATTCTGAATATCTAATATTCTGAATACTTAAAATTCTAAATAAAACTGAATATTTATATTTCTTTAGAATAATCTAAAATAAATAAAGAAATTAAAGAGTTGTTAAACTAGACTAGCAAAAATAAAAAGAACTTAATAAAGTTAAGAAGAAAAAATAGAAAATTAATTTATTTAAATAAGAATAAAAAGAACAAAAACAAATTCAAATGCAATTTATATATTTAATATGAAATTTTTTCAACTTTAACTCTACTTTTATTAAATATTAGTTATGTTTGATATTTCTATTTCTAATTAATTAAAGTAAATAAAAAAATTTTTTAAAAAATCTAAATTATTATATATATTCTTTATTTAAATTATAATAATATCTTTATATTATTAAAAAATTATATTTTTATCTTATTTATTTTTTAATATTTATAAACAAAAATATTTTTAAATAAAACTCTTTCTAGTACTTTTTAAAGTAATTTAAAATAATATTATAGTTAAAAAATAATTAGTTTTTTTAGTTTCTTAATTATTATAATATTAACTAAAAATTTATATAATAATTAAGATATTCTTTAATAATTTTTTATATTATTATATATTAAAATTCTTTAATATATATTTTTATATTATCATATAAATTTTTTTAATATGGTGTCAGAACTCTATACTCAACAATAAAAATGAATATCTTTAAAATCTATTAGCACTTTATAGAGATAAAATTAAAAAAACTAAACTGGTAATATTATTTATTAGAATAAGTTTTATTAAATTACAGGTCAGAATTTTAAAAAAACTTCTGTAGAAAAAGTTATAACTATTTAAAATTAGATATATTTTATATATTTTGCCTGAAATTAAAATAATTCATGTATCTATTTTTATTATGTGAAATTAATTTTATTGATTAATATTAAATATAATTTGAATTAGATATATATCAGTCTAAATTAAAATATTCATTTAATTATATGTATATTGATTAATTATTTCTTATCTAATTAATATATTAATAATACTATCACATATAAAAAAATAATAGCAGATAGATAAATTAGCTAGAAAAAAAGACTGCTTTACATTTCAAAAAGAATAAAAAACTACTATTATTATCAATATACAAGAAGTATTTGATGAATAGAAGAAAGCTAATAAATAAAAAGAAGCTGTTAATATACAAGAAATTCTTGAAAAATAAAGGAAAGAAGAATTGTAAGAATTTGAAAAGATAAGAAAAATATTTATCTATAAAGTTCTCTGTTAATATAAGAGAGCCAGAAGTAATTTTAGAATAATATATACTAGAAATTTAAGAACAATAAACTAGAGACAGAAAAAAAAGAAAATAAGAAGAATATATAAAAGAAATAAGAAAGCTTAATATATTCTTTAAATAAAAGCAAACTATTATCTTTCTACTATTTCTAATAATTACTTAAATTTTATTATCATCTATTAATACTATATTATTATCTGCTAATATTATAACAAACTTATAAAAATAATTAGAAAAAGTTAATTAATAATATTTTATAATAAAATCTCATAAAGAAAATAATTAAATTTTCATATATGATTATTTATACTTTCTAAGTATATAATAACATATACTATTATTATTAAAAGAAAATAGTAAAATAAATATTAGTAATTAGATCATATAAATTATATAAAATAAAAGTGATTATATGATAAAATATATTCAAAAATAAGATGATTACTTTATAAAAATAAAAGAGCTTCTTGTTTATTATCAAGAAATACATACAAAATTGAAAAGTTTACTTAATAATGAGAATTTTATGAAAAACTATCAAGTATAATTATGATAGCAAGCATCAGAGTCAAAATATTAAAAGTATATATTAAGAAAAGATTATTTTCAAAAATTATAAGATATATCAGAAAAGACAAGATCTTTAAGAAAATATACTAAAATAATATATATTCATAAGAGTATAAATATAATAAAAGAAGCAAAGATATTTATTATAATAGATATAAGTAATTAAATATAGTATTATACAAAAAGAAATAATTAAAG